CGGGCACTCCCGCCACCGGGGCCGCCAACAACGGCTAGAGTCGTTCAGGTTAGGGCAATCACTGGTTTTCTTTTACGGTTTTAGAGGCTTTAAACAAACTCTGTACAAAGTTATAAAGACATTTCGCCGTATTTATGGAGGTTACTCATGATTTATGTGTTAGATGTCATATATTAGAGCGGCTGTATGGGGTTTAGCGTTATTGTAAATTTGTTAGTGGATTCATGATTTCACGACATTGTATAAAAGGTTTAACTATAATTATCAGTGTAACATATTGATATTATCTATTTATTAACACTTTATTATTATGATTACCAAATAATAAATTATTCAATAGGTTCATACGTGTTTTTCTCAACCAATTATACAACCAGGTCAACGAACACACTTACTAAGACAATTAAATACTTAAATATGCTAAAATATGGAACGTTCTACTTTTATCATTTCAAAGTTTCTCTTTTCTAGTAATTGAAAGTTTTTTTGAGCCAACTTGGCAACCAAATTTTTTATTTTAAACTTACTTTTTTATATAACAATTAGAGGCTACGAGGTTTGTATTAAATAACACTTTAGTACCAATTTTTAATCTGGTTAAGAACTTCATTTAAATTAATTGTTAATAAACAATAAAATAATTCTTTTTAAGTAAAATTTTCTGGCGCCATCTTACGAGCAACTCTTTATACTACTATAAAGAAGATTTCTGTTTTAGGAGATACGTGTAATATTGATTAAACAATATTATTATGATTATTAGTGTCATTTTTGCATAGAATAGGTGCCAAGTGTGCACAATTTTATATGATCATTTTGCAAATAAGAAAAATTTGATGTTGTTTTAGTGTTTTTGTCTATGTGACATTGGCAGTGTTTTCAAATATCTTTTTTTAAAATTATTGTCCTGTGACGTTTTTGCTTTCTATTTATATAGAATCTCCTCCAGATGTTTTATATTTTTTGAAAAGTCGCAGAAATGACGTAGTGGCATTTTCCACTGAAAAATAAAACGCATAAACGCTAAAATTAAATTCCATTGTTGTCAAAATTCCAAGTCATCAAGGCATGCGTTGGCGCCCACTACCAACCTCATCAACATTTCTCTCAATGACAAAAAAAAATAAAACGAATGCACGAAACAATGATAATTGATTAAGTTGGTGTAAAAATGGTCCAAATTGCATTTTTCCGAAATTTCCTAACCTCAAAGCCCCTTTTTCGAAAATCCAAGATGGAGTCACCAACCAACTGTCATTTCATACGTCAAACTGACCCCAATTCGTCGTAGTTTCAACAATGTTTAAATTGAAAAATTAGAAACCATCAGAAAAAACGGTTTTATTTTTAGAAACGCTCAGTCATGTCTCTGAAACCGCGTCGTGTGGACTTCAACGCGACCTGGGGGTCCATCCGGGACACCATTCGGGGGGTGATCACCCTAGACCACGTCCCTCGCCCCGTATGGAACGACCGCTTCTCGTAAGTCATTTCAAGGAACTCTAACCTCACTTTAGCCCCCTTGTCCAGGGACGTCTACTCGCTTTGTGTGGCCCACCCCGAGCCCATGGCCGACCGTCTGTACGCCGAAACCAAGCAGTACCTCATCGACCATGTCTCGAAGTTGCTCGTGCAAGTCCAGGACGAGGGGGAGGCCAATTTGGTCAAGAGTTATTACCATTATTGGTCGCAGTACTCCGTGGGGAGTCAATACTTGCACAGTTTGTACTTGTACCTCAACCAACAACACATCAGGACTCAGAAACTCTCCGATGCTGAGATTATTTATGGGAGTTCGGATTCGTCAGGGGGCGAACAGATGGAAATTGGGGAGTTGGCACTCGAAGTGTGGCAGTCGGGGATGATAGCCCCTCTGGGGCAAAGGCTTGTTAAACTGCTACTGGAGGCTATAGGGGAAGATAGGGCGCAAAACACATGCGCTATACCCATTGACGCGGTCAGGGGGACCATTCTCAGCTTCGTCGAGGTAACCCAACCTCACTTTTATTTTTCGTTAAATTGAAATAAAATTTCTTTCTTTCTTTAAGTTTGTTTAAAAAGGAAAAAATTTGTCATGGCCCACTGAGGCAATGTTTTTTCGTCTGTTTTTATTCATGAAAAAATAAGATTTTAGGTTTAGGTTTTCTTTTTTTTAATTATGTAGGCAGCTATGAGAAATAGTCACTGTTTTGGGACTTTTTTGTGATGAGGTTGGCAAACAATTTTTTTCTTTTTTCCGTACACTGGGGAGAAACCTATGACATTATTTTAATATTTATTAGTTTTTTGTGTGGCAGTGAAAAATTAAAAAAATCATGGGTTCTTCTAATTTCTTGATTTTTTATTTTTTTTATAGATCACTGATGAACCAAAACTATAATTTAAAGACTTTTTTTGTAATTGACATTTTGTTTACTTCATTGTGAAAAAACTTTGTGAAAAATTGTTATTTGATTTTTTTTGTCCAACTGAGGAAACAAATTTATTTTAAATGCATTTGTCGAAGTTTTTCCGTTATTAAAAGCGTTTGGTTACTGTGCTAGCTATGAAAAATATTTATTTATTGATTTTTTTATAGTACTTTTGTTACTTATTGTACTTGGATGGCGTTGAAAAAACAAATTTCGCTTTTTTTTTGTATTAGTTAAAATTGATATCATATTGTTGTTGTATTTTTTTAACTACATATATTTAATTCCTTTAGATCAACTTGGCAAACAGTTTTTTTTTTCTTTTTTTAGGAATATTGAGGAAAAATCTATGACACTATCTTAATATTTGTAAACTAGTTTTTATGTTGGTAGTGACAAATTAAAAAATTTGTGAATATTTGGGAAAAAATCTGATTCATTCAATTTTCATAAAATTTGTTTACTTCGTTAGTCATGACACTAAGAGTAGTTTAAAAACTATTTGAAAAATGTGATTTATTTTGAGGAATTTTTTTTTATATCACAGGTAATGTGAAAATTTGTTTAATTTTTTTGGCCAACTGGGGAAACAATTTTTTTAATTAAATTTGTCGAACTTTTCTGTTATTAAAAACGTTTGCTTACCGCACTGGCTATGAAAAATATTTTTTTATTGATTTTTTCATATTACTTTTGGTACATGTTTTACTTGGTTGGCTTTGAAAAATAACAAATTTTCTTTTTTTATTAGTTAACATATTGTTGCTTAAAATTTCTTTAAAAATGTCGTATTTTTCTAACGCCCTTTAAAGGGGAAAATTTTTTTTCATGGCTTACTGAGGAAATGTTTTTTGGTCATCTTTTTGCGATCACTTGTTAAACATTTTTTTACTTTTTTTACGAACATTGGGAAAAAATTGGTGACACCATTTTAATACTTGTAAATACGTTGGCAGTGAAAAATTAAAAAAAATTATGAATATTTGGGAAAAAATTTGATACGTTCAATTTTCATGAAATTTGTTTACTCCGTTAGCCATGAAACTAAAAGATATTTGAAAAATGTGATTTATTTTAAGGAAAAAAAAATATGACTCACAGGTAATGTGAAAATTTGTTTGATTTTTTTGATCAACTGGGTAAACATTTTTGTTAAATATTTTGTCGAACTTTTTCGCTATTAAAAAAGTTTGCTTACTGCACTGTCTATGAAAAATATTTCTTTATTGATTTTTTTCATATTACTTTTCTTACATATGTTACTTGGGTGGCTTTGCAAAAATTAAAAATTTTGTTTTTTTTATATTAGTTAACACATTGTTGCTTAAAATTTATTTAAAAATGTATTTTTCTAACTTTATTTAAAGGGGAATTTTTTTTCATGGCTCACTGAGGAAATGTTTTTTTTTGTCATCTTTTTGCGATCACTTGTTAAACATTTTTTTTACTTCTTTTACGAACATTGGGAAAAAATATGACACTATTTTATTACTTCTAAATAAGTTGGCAGTAAAAAATAAAAAAATTCATGAATATATGGGAGAAAATATGATACATTTAATTTTCATGAAATTTGTTTACTCCGTTAGCCATGAAACTAAAGTTGTTTAAAAGCTATTTGAAAAATAAGATTTTGAGGCAAAAAAAAATTCATGGCTCACAGATGTTTTTTATTCATAAAAAAATTCCTTTGTTTAAACATTCTTCAGATTGCATCGTTGGCTATGAGAAATAGCCATGAATATTTGGGAAAAAAATTTAATGAAATTTGTTTACTCCGTGGGCTGTGAAAACTAAAGTTGTTGAAAACCAGGTGCAGGGCTACAAGAAGAAGGGCCAACTGCAGCTCTACCAGGAGTTGTTCGAGGAGCCCTTCCTCAAAGAGAGTGGTGAGCACTTCAAACGCGACGCTGCTAAACTTCTCCAAGAGAAAAACGTCTCCCTGTATATGGAGCGAGTCAAGGGGAAAATTGAGGAGGAACTCCTTCGTGCACGTCGTTTCCTCCACACCAGTTCCCTCCCGAAAGTCTCCCAACGGTGCGAGACACACATGGTGGCCGAACATTTGGACTTTTTATACAGCGAATGTGTGGCTATGGTACAGGGTGAGCGCAAAAAGGATCTCTCCAATATGTACGATCTGCTCAAGAGTGTCCAAAATGCAATGGTTGTTCTTGTCGATACAGTTTTGGATCACATCAAAATGCAAGGATTGACTGTATGTTTTTTTCTCGAGTTGTTTTATCAATTTAGTGATTTTTTTCTCAGGCTGTTGGTAATATTGATACCGAAAATATACACATAACTTTTGTCGAGAATATGTTGGCTGTGTATAAGAAGTATAAACTGTTGATTCAAGAAGTGTTTAAGTCGGATCAGAATTTTATGGGGGCCTTGGATAAGGCCTGTAGTTCGGTTATTAATTATAAGTTTGGTAAACCTGTATGTAAGAGTCCCGAATTTTTGGCCAAGTATTGCGACGCTTTGTTGAGGAAGTCAAGTAAAGGGATTAGTGACTCGGAGGTGAGTGTTTTTTTGACCAACTGGGGAAACAATTTTTTTTTACTTTGTTGGCTTTTAAAGAACAAAGTATCAAATTGCAGTGAAATTTAATTTTGGTTATTTATTTTTTTCATAGACCACTGAGGAAACAAATAAAAATATTATTTATATGGTTTTTTTGTAGTCGACATTTTAGTTTCTTTGTTGGTTATGAAAAATTTACTTTTTTAATTTTTTGTTCACCTTGTTGGTCGTGAAAAAGAGAAAAGTGAAGAAATTTTTTACTTTGTTGGCTTTGAAAAAACAAAATAACAAATTGCATTGTGATAATTTTAATTGGTTTGATAGTCACAATTTTTTTCTTCGAGTGTGGTGAAGTTTAAATTTGGCTATTTATTTTTTCATAGACCACTGGGGAAACAAATAAAAAATATATAATTTAAGGGCTTTTGATGGTTGACATTTTGGTTACTTTGTTTTTATTTTCTACTTGGTGAAAATTTGTACACCTCGTTGGCCATGAAAAAATGAAATGTGGCTACGTAGTTATTTATTCTCGTTTTCGGGTTTCGTTTTTCGTCTTTAGCTTGGCAAACATGATTTTATTTTCGTTATTAAAAGTGTTTGGTTACCGCGTTGACCATGAAAAATATTTATTTATTAATTTTTTGTTATATAACTTTTGTTTGTGGTTTTGACTCACTTTTTATTTTAAAATAAAAAACAAATTTTATACTTTGTTGGTTTTGAAAAAACAAGGTAACAAATTGCATTGTGACGAAGGGTTTTTTTGGAGTTCACATTTTGGTTACTTCGTTGGTTATGAAAAACGTTTTTTTTTATTTTCTACTGGGGCTTTGTGAAAATTTGTACACTTCGTTGGCCATGAAAAAAATAAAAATGGCTACGTAGTTGTTTATTCACATTTTCGGGTCTCGTTTTTCGCCTTTAATTTTGCAAAGTGATTTTATTTTTGTTATTAAAAGTATTTGGTTACCGCGCTGACCATGAAAAATATTTATTTATTGATTTTTTTATCACTTTTGTTTGTGGTTTTAACTCATTTTTTGTTTTAAAATTAAAAACAAATTTTATACTTTGTTGGCTTTGAAAAAACAAAGTAACAAATTGCATTGTGACGAAGGTTTTTTTTTGTAGTTGACATTTTGGTTACTTCGTTGGTTATGAAAAACATTTTTTATGTAATACTGAGGTTTTGTGAAAATTTGTACACCTCGTTGGCCATGAAAAAATTATAAATGGCTACGTGGTTATTTATTCACATTTTCGGGCCTCGTTTTTCGCCTTTGGCTTGACAAACCTGATTTTATTTTTGCTATTAAAAGTGTTTAGTTACCGCGCTGATCACGAAAAATATTTATTGATTTTTTTATCACTTTTGTTTGTGGTTTTAACTAATTTTTTAATTTTAAAATAAAAAACAAATTTTATACTTCGTTGGTTTTGAAAAAACAAAGTAACAAATTGCATTGTGACATTTTGGTTACTTCGTTGGTTATGAAAAGTGAATGAAAATTTGTCCACCTCGTTGGCAATGAAAATTTTTTTTTTTAGGTGGACGAAAAGCTCGCCGAGAGCATAACAATTTTCAAGTATATCGACGACAAGGACGTTTTTCAAAAATTTTACTCTCGAATGTTGGCCAAACGTCTGATCCACCAACAAACTCAAAGTATGGACGCCGAAGAAGCCATGATAAATCGTTTAAAACAAGCTTGTGGTTACGAATTTACAAGTAAATTACATCGAATGTTTACCGACATGTCGGTTAGTGCAGATCTCAACAACAAATTCAACGCATTTTTGAAACAAGACAACATCGACCTCGGAATCAATTTCAGTATTTACGTATTACAAGCGGGGGCGTGGCCACTGGGTCAGACGATGACCACGCCCTTTACGTATCCTAGACAACTGGAGAAGAGCGTCCAAATGGTGAGTGAGAACAACAAGTGGGCGTGTCTTGGATTAAAATGTTGTTTTATCCAATTTCCAGTTTGAAAATTTCTATCATAATAGGTTCAACGGCCGGAAATTAACATGGTTACACAATTTATGTCAAGCGGAACTGAAATTGGGACATTTGAAAAAGTCGTATTTAGTGACAATGCAGACGTTTCAAATGGCCACTTTGTTGTTATTCGAACACACTGATTCGCTCACATTTAGAGAGATTAGGGAGAGTTTACAGCTAACATCGGAACAGTATCACAGATATGCGGCTAGTTTAATTGATTGTAAATTATTGATAGCGGACAGTACGGTAGGTGAAGCCACGCCCACATCATTTTCTCGTTTAATTTACTGTTTTTAGGACTTGAAACCTGAAACAGTGCTACGTTTAAACATGGAATATAATAATAAGAGGACGAAATTTCGAATAAATGCAGCTGTGCAAAAAGAGTCGCCCCAGGAGATCGAACAAACGATGAATTCGGTTGAAGAAGATAGAAAAATGTATTTGCAGGCAGCCATCGTTAGGATTATGAAATCAAGGAAAATACTTAAACATAATGCGTTAATACAAGAGGTGAGGAGGAAAAAATGTCGAATTTGGGGTTTAAATGAGTGGTTTTTAGGTTTATGCACAATCGAAAGTTTCTTTCGCACCGAGTGTTCAACTGATTAAAAAGTGTATCGAGTCGCTTATCGATAAACAATATATTGAAAGGACACCACATTCAAGCGAAGAGTATAGTTATGTAGCTTAGAAATCACTAACTTAATTGTGTTTGTGACGACCGGTTTGACATGTAACATACTTGTAAATAAGTGATCACTATTAATTTTTCTATGGTTTGATTTCGGCCAGGTTAGTTATGACTAATGATTGTAATTTGCCCTTTGTGATAATGAAATATAAACGAGAAATGAGTTTTATTCACACCCATGTCGAATTTCTGACCTCAAGGATGGTTGGGAAGTGTCTCATTACTGACCTCTAATCTAGCCCTACTTGAAAGTAAAATTGTATACAAGCATTGGTAGAAAAAAAATCTCGACAAAAATGAAGCACTCCACTCGGTATGTAATATACTATTTTACTTTTAATCCGATATAAAATTGTTATAGTTTTTGAGTTGTTTTTTTTTTACTAAACAAAGTTGAAAAAAGCTGAAACTAAAACAATATATTATTATAAT